GAACCATATATGATCATTATTTGTTGTTATAAATGTTTGTGGTAGCCTTGTGTTAATGAAATTGGTGCCACAGTACACCATTAAATCCGTCGTTTAAAGGCAAATCTGATGGTTCCACTCACCCAATGGGACTCCCGGACGGTATTAGGGACCATGGTAAACATTTCGGCAATTATTATTTCCGGGCGAAAAAAAGTCTAAAAATTCCAAAAATTAAAGGCTAATATCCACGGTTTTTGAGAAATTTTGGAAGTTTCGGGGCCCGGTATCAAAAAGCCTTGAAATTCAAGGGAATACATCTCGGGGTCATATAATGCCTTTTGGATCCATATATGATCATTATATGTTGTCATAAATGTTTGTGGTAGACTTGATTAATGCAAGTTGTAAACCGGTAAATTGGTCATTTAAAGGCAAATTGGATGGTTCCACCCAGTCAATTGGCTCCCGGTGGGTATTAGGGACGATAGTAAACATTTCGGCAATTTTTATTTTCGGGTGAAAAAAAGTCAAAAAATTCCAAATTGAAGGCTAATATCCACGCTTTTGAGAAATTTTGGAGGTTTCGGTTAGAGCTGTCAATTCGGGTAAACGGGTCGGGTTTGGGTCGGTAAGAGTTGGTTGGGTCAACTCGGGTCGGGTCAATTCGGATTAATTCTATAACCTATGTGGGTCGAGTTTGGGTTGGGTCATCTTGAGTCGGGTCACGTTATGTCATACTTCTTATTGGGTTTAGGTCGGGTTAATAATAGGTCAGGTTACATTCGGGTCGGGTGAACAATAGGTCGGGTTTAATTCGGGTTGTCACTGGTTAAAACAGGTTAGGGTGATTCTCGGGTTCGAGTCAAGACAATAATTTGCGGGTTAGAATTAGGTCGGGTCATTCTCGGGTTTGAGTCGATTTCTGTTCAAGTTAATAATTTGCGGATTATAATCATGTTGGGTCATTTTCAAGTCGGGTCATTCTCGGGTTCAAGTCGGGTTCGGTTCAAGCCAATAATTTGCGGGTAAAAATCAGGTTGGGTCATTTCCAAGTCGAGTCATTCTCGGAGTCAAGTCGTGTTATGTTCAAGTCAATAATTTGCAGGTTACAATCAGGTCGGGTCAACCTGATTATAACCCGCAAATTATTGACTTGAACCGAACCCGACTTAAACCCGCAAGTTATTCTCTCTTTTAATTCAAGATAAGATTATCATAATTTTGGCCTTTTGAGGCAAATTTATGCTTAGACCAGGAAATTGTTCAAAAGGGTTAAAAAAATGGCAAAAAGCATACATTAGTGCTGGTCCAATTATGTATTATGAGCCCAATGTATGACATTTCTAAAAAAAAAAAAAAAAAAAAAAAAAAAAAAAAAAAAAAAAAAAAAAAGAGACCCAACATATGTTGCTTTCTAATCCATAAAAAAAGCAATTAGTCTAAGGTGCACCATTGTGCACCTTAGATAGATATTACAACGCAGCCCAGAAGCCCAATTTCACACAACCCAATTAAAAAAAAGCCCTAAAACTAAAAAAATGGAAACTGCAATACACCACCCACACCCAATACACGAACCCACACCCAATACACCCACCCCCACCCAATAAATGTAACGTCACCTCCAAACTCAAAACTCTTTTTCTTCTATATGATTTTCTCTCTCCTCTTTTTCACTTCTCTCTCCTCTATTTCATTTTCTCTCATTAAAAAATTGCAAAAACATCAATGGACATTAGAGAAGAGATACAAAATCAAAAGGATCCTCCCTTAAAAAAAGGCAATTTTATGTAAATTTCACTTAATTTTGTTTGAATTTATATGATTATCACTTAATTTTGTTTGAATATTATTCGATACTCTCTATTATTCGAAATTTTATATTGGAATTGTCAAAATAAATTAGTGAAATTAAACGGATACCTTATGTTCATATTCTGAAATGCATATGTTCATATTTTGAATTCTTATGTTCATATTTTAAATCCTTTTGTAAACTTTCTGAAAATGCTTATATTGACTTTCTAAATCCATATGTTCATATTTTTTATGAATATGTTCACCTTCTGAAATGCTTAATTATGTTCATACGCATTCAAAAACGAACCAATGCATATGTTCATATTTTGAATGCATATGTTCATATTTTTAATACTTATGTTTCATAATCATATAATTTTTTTAATTCTTCATTTTTATGTTCATAATTAAATGCCTTATATTCATAATAATATTTTATAAATTCATAATGTAAATATTCATAGTAAATATTTGTTGTTCATAAATTAAGTTTGTTTATGCATATGCTCTCTTTCTTAAATGCATATGATCATATTTTTTACACATATGTTCACCTTTTAAATGGTTATATTCACTTTAAGGAAACCAATGCTTACGTTCATATTTTGAATTGTTATGTTTACTTCTTTGAAATGCATATGTTCATATGTTTTATGTCTATGTTCACTTTCTTAAAAGCTAATGTTCACATTTAAGGGAACCTATGCATATGTTCATATTTTGCATGATTATGTTCATTGATAAAAAAAAATGCAGAAAATCGGATGAAATTCATACACAGATGAAATTGATCGAAGCTAAAAAAAATTCATATGAATTCAAAAAAATCAGATAAACAACCAATTCCATATTGTAAGGAACAGATTCAATCGTTAAATCGAAAAAACAAGAAAAATAGAAATAGAGGAAAAAGGAATTAAAGAAGGAAGGAGAAAAAAAGAGTATAATTTGTGAATTCAAAGATTCATGTAGACCTTAATCAATTGAAATTAAAGCACCAAATTGAAATTCACACAAAAATTCATACTTAATAACTACTTTCATGTTGTAAGAAACAAATTCGATCAAAAAAGTGTAAAAAAGGGGGAATTTTTTTAAAAAAAAAACAGAGGAGAGACAAAATAAAAAAAATAAAAAAAAAAGAAGGAGAAAAATAGAGAGGAAAGCTAATGTTCACTTTCTCAAAAGCTAATGTTCATATTGTGCTATTGTTACACCTAAATCTAGGTGCATGAGTGTGCACCTAAGAATACGCGATAAAAAAGACCAAGTTGTTGGGCCTTCCTAAAGGGAGATTGGTACTGTGTTGTCTGTACTCAGCTCAATAGCTCATCAAATCTACACGAAAGTAAAAAACAAACCACAAAGTTTTTTTTTCTTTCTGTATTTTTTTTTATTATTATTTTTTTTTAATTTTTGAACAATTCACAAAGAATTTATAAATACATCTCTCAAGAGTCACAAACTAGGCCACCCAAAGTAAGGAATAACTGTTTATTCTTGTTTGAATAATATTGATTAGACTAAAAATTGAAAGTTGAATTGAGCCAGACACAAGCTCAAAGTCACCTTCTATTTTTGAAAAAAAAATACAGATCCATTAACTTTACCATTTATTTAATTTTTGCATGGGTGAGATAGCAAGCAGGAGGATGATTTACAATTGAATTTTTGCAACTGTCTTTGCTTGTTAAGTAATTGGGAAATGATAGCAAACACTATCATAATAAATGGATGCTTTCTTTGTATCACACCTATGGTACGTGGATTTCTCAATATCTAACAGCTTGAGTTTTTAATGACATTAATAACGCCTGTTGATTCCCGTCAAAAATAATAATAATAATAAATAAATAAAAAATAAAAACTTGTTGGTATTAAGTTGTGCTTAGATGGTATTGTACCATCTTAATACCAACAAAGAAGTTTATTAGTACCAACACTATCAATAAAGAAGTATTTCGATATAGAATGGTACAATACTATTTAAGCATAATTTATTACCAATAGACGTTATTTGAGTTATTAAAGATTCAAGCTATTAGAGTTTAGAGGCAGAGAATTTTCCCCCTTGTTTATAATCAATATGTTCTTATGTGATAGATTTACATACATTTCCTTTTTTTTTTTTTTTTTAAAGACATACATTTCCATTTTAATATGTTCAACAAAGTCTAGCTCAATTTTACTTCATTCCATTTTAAGTACAGCACAACTTATGTTCACAATTATCCACTCTTACCTTACTACATAAACTTTTTGTTCAATAATCATATCTAAACTATTATATCTTTGAATCTCTCTTACCCAAAAAGTGAAAATTCATCTCTGTTTTCTATTGGATTCATGTTGCTACAATAACTATTACTCCATTAGTGGGATTACACCAGCCCATTGGTTAGCCAGACGAGCTTGTAAGCGTAGGATTTTGTTTTGGTCCTTTTGATTTATGTGTGTTTGTTATTTTTAGTTTATTAGTTACTATTGTCAAAAAAAAAAAAAAAACAAAAAAAACCCTATTACTCCATTAGATATTTAAAAATGGAAGAGTACAAGAGCAAGGTAGGAGAATACTTAAGAAATAGTTAATCCATAATCCTACAATTTACTCTGTAAACGCATGTGTTAAGTAAGATCACATTAATACCGTACCATGTGATTACCTAATTGGGATAATGAGATAGCAAATCTATCATCAAAATCAAACTTAAATTTCATTTCGTGTACTGTATGAGTTGCTAAATTTTTTGAAAGATGCTAATAATGCATTAGTAATTTAACGATTAGGAGCATTTAATCGACTTGCTTATTATATGTCCTTCCAAAGTGTCAGGATAACAACAGAAATTAAATGACAAATTATAGTTGACTTTGTAATTAAAATTAAATGACTTACTTCTTGTTTTCAGCTCCGCTTCTCTCGCTTTTCTCATCTTCTTCCACCATCGACGCATCTCATTTAATTCCTCGCATCACAAGTTCACAACATTATGTACGGTAAATTAAGTAAACTTAAACTAAAACCTTATGCAATCGAAAATATCAATTTTGATGGAATATACTCGATACAAACTAAAACACGCTTCGTTTCCTTTATGTTTGCTCAATTTAAACTACTATTCATTTGATCGAAAAGAGAAACCGTAATCATTTATTAATAATTATATATTCCGTATAAAAAATAATTATAGTCAAAGAAGATTTCGTTAAATATGTTGGAGTGTGTACTTTTTTAGTACATACTGAGTAATAAACTTTTTACATTGTTACTCAGACTATAAAAAAAAAAAAAGCTAAATGATAACAAAACACGAGTACTAAGGAATGGAGGGAGTTAAATTTTCAAATAGCAGATACCAAAAGGAATTTAATGAGAAGAAAATATAATAATGAGATATAGTGAGGAACACTTCAAGCAAGAAAGTGGCAATTTAGCATCTAGCATGAAGTGCGCCGCAATAGATCTCTGACACCGCTCATTGCTAATTAAATCCAGCGTGGTTTAGCTGAACCAAATTATATAAGGGAGGTCTCGGACTACACTGTTGTAATCCATTTATAAACTTCTTCAACATATATATCTTTCTCGTACAAATTTGGGGATTGAGTTAAACTCCTCTATACTTATAATTAGGTAATGTATACTGTTTTCTACGTTGTTTGCCAATAATTTTCATATGTTTATTTAAGTACGTGGAATTATTTTTCTTATTTAGTACGTATTAATAATCGAATTTGTAGTGCTGCTTTGGTTGTTGTTTGGCTGTCATAAATTAAAAGATCAGTGATTTTTTATTTTGAAAATGGAAAGCTTAAATGTGGTCTAAGTAAGTGTAAATAAACCTATCAAGTATAATTTGAGTTTTTCTTAGTTCACTAAAAAAAAAAAAAGTTGGTAGATTAGTATGTGGCTTTAGTTACCTGATGATTTTAACTAATTTTATTGTTAATTACTTTCTATTTTTCTTGGCAGGTACTTTTATTAAGTATACAATCTTCATAACATGGGACGAATAGAATTATTTTCTATTCTCCTCGGAGTTCTAGCTTTGTCAAATATTTTCACAATTCATGCAGATAGTCCAGATAAATATTTTGATTGGAATGTAACCTATGGAATTAGATCTCCTCTTGGAGTTCGTGAACGGGTAAGTTATAGCATTTTCACACCAAATTTACTTAATATTCATTATTCCTAGTTAAAGCTTCAATGTCATTAATTACTTTTGGAGTGTACCTTTCGAATTTATTAAAAAAATCGAGGCGATCAACTTAGCTCACCTCCGTGCAAAACCATCCTAGTTAACTTTTACTGACATTATATCTGTTTTCAATTGCAGGTTATTCTTATAAATGGAAAATTTCCTGGTCCAACATTAGACTGCGACACTAATGACAATCTCTATATCACAATCCATAATAATTTGGCAGAGCCATTCCTAATAACATGGTTAGTGACTTCTCTAAAGCTTATGTTTTCAACAATGATATCTAAAAATGCCTAAAACTGACATGAAATCACCAAATTTTCATCTAAACTGATGTACATAACTCTTGTTAGCTAAGTCTTTTAAACATGTAGGAATGGGGTTTGGCAAAGAAAGAACTCGTGGGAAGACGGGGTGCTTGGAACTAACTGTCCCATTCCACCACACTCGAGTTGGACATATAGAATGCAAGCCAAGGATCAAATTGGTACTTATATGTACTTCCCTTCCACGGGTATGCATCGAGCTGATGGAGGTTATGGTGCGTTCAATATTCATAGAAGACCTGTTATTGCCCTACCTTACCCTGTTCCAGCTAAGGAATTCACCCTCCTTGTTGGAGACTGGTTCCATACTGGACCTCAGGTTTGTAAACTTTAATTCGATCAATTTCTAATGAGGAAAAACAAGACTTGAGATAAACTCTAATATAGTATTGTTTTCTATGATTAATCATGAAAATTAGTTCACAAATGGAGTAGCAAACATGCTGAAATATAAGTTGGACAATGGAATTGGTATGCCAACACCTGATGGCCTACTTATCAACGGGTTGCCTAGTGGTACAATCTTCACCGGTAAAGCAAGGAAAACATACCTGTTACGAGTGTCGAATGTGGGGATCATGGCTTCAATCAACATCAGGATACAGGGGCATACAATGAAGCTGGTTGAGGTTGAGGGTTCTCATGTTCTCCAAGAAATTTACGAGTCTCTTGACGTTCATCCAGGCCAATCCATGTCGGTTTTGGTGACCCTTAATGGCGCTATCAAGGACTACTACATTGTCACCTCAACTCGATTCATGAAGAAGACTCGTACAGCTACTGCAATCCTGCGTTATAAGAATTCAAAAGTCAGTGCTTCTGGTCCTTTACCTGTCGGTCCGACTTATCAAGTTCACTGGTCCATGAAGCAAGCCAGAACTTTCAGGTAAGCTACCATCAAATCTTTAAAATCATAAACTAGTAATTATAAATATGCTCTGTAATCAGTCATAATGAAACACAATCTTTGATAATTAGGCTTATTTTTCTGTGTTATCTAGATGGAATCTTACTGCTAATGCTGCAAGACCGAACCCTCAAGGAGCCTACCGTTATGGAGGAATTGAAATCACTAAGACAATCATTTTGGGAAATTCGGCGGGAAAGATCAATGTAAATGGATTGAAAAAGAGATATTATGGAATTAACAATGTCTCTTATGTGAATCCAAGCACACCAATAAAACTGGCTGACCATTACAACATTCCCGGTGTTTTCAACCTTAAAACGAGTAGGGACAAATCCACACCCGGTCCTATGGTCCTTGGCACCACCGTCTATGACTTGGCTCTCCATGATTATGTAGAAATCATCTTCCAAAACAACGAAGATACCACTCAGTCTTGGCATCTTGATGGCCATAACTTCTTTGTTGTCGCGTAAGCTTATATTATTCTCTCTAATATTAATTTTTTACAGCTGCTTAACTAGACATCTTGATCCTAATATACGGTGAATATTTCAGATTTGGTGCAGATGAATGGAATCCAAACATGAGGAAAAAATATAATTTGGTCGATGCTGTCTGGAGAAGCACTATCCAGGTAATTAAACAAAACTAAAGCTTGCTCAAATATAATTACTCTACTATCAATAATATAGGTCGTAGTAAACTTAAAAATGTTACATATATATTGTCGAAATCATGCAGGTGTATCAAAACTCATGGACAGCAGTATTAGCAGCTCTAGACAACAAGGGAATGTGGAATTTGAGATCAGCAATATGGCACAGACAGTACTTAGGGCAGCAAGCTTATTTCAGGGTGTGGAATAATGAATATAGCGTAAGGACAGAAAATATAATCCCTTCAAATGTTCTAAAGTGTGGAAAGGTTGCTAAATAATAGACTTAGTTTCTGTATTTATTTATTTTCCCTAAAAAAAAAAAACAGTCACGAGGGTGTGACTGACTTTAAATTAGGAAAACAAGCTAAGCTTACAATATGAAGCAAAAATTGTACTCATCACCCATGTTTCTCCATTGGGGAAAAAACATTTCCCATTATATGCAAGATAGCAATAATGTCTAAATCTTTACTATGACATTCTAGTACTTATGTGCAAATTTATGCTAAAATCTAAGTATAGTTCACATGATAATCTCAAACTGTGTGTTCTCTTGTTCTATAGACTCCACACAATGAGTCCGAACCTTAATCTTATACTATTTTCGTCCTAAAATTATATCAATGTTAGCATTTGCATAGTTGTAGGAGTAGATGTGATATGGTAGTGGAATATTAATATTGTTATTTTTATAGAAAATTAAATGTGATAGACAATGAATTAAAAAAGAGTTAAGAAAGACATATTTTGTATATGGATATTTTTCGTTAAAGAAAGTGTTGCAATTATCCGATAAACTAAAATGAATAAAAGAGGTTAGAGCTTTAATGGGCCTAAACCATTACTTAAACTCTTTAAGCCAATAGCTAAAGTCCATTAGAGGGAACATAGCTAAATTAGCTATTAGCTAATTGGCTATTACTGTAAACTTATAATACGAGCATGCAATTCACATCCGCACTTTTAACAATAGCTTCTTCAAACTTACTATTTGAAAGGACATGTTTTCGTGCATTCTGTCTCAACTTTCAAGATTACCTTTCTAATAACATGTCCATTACACTATAAATATTCCCATATTCAGATCACCCCTTAATAGTAAGTAGTAACTTTAAACAATACTAGATATTATTTGTGCATGCTAAAGATATAAAAGCTTACAAATAAACTATGATCTGAGGCCATGGTCAATTGGTCATGGACTCAAGGTGGCAAGCAGTTTTTCTAGGATTTGATGGTTATGAATTGGTTAGGAGGATGGTGAAAATCAAATAGTTTGCTTAATTAATGTTCAATATAATAAGGCTAAACTATTCAACACCATAGCTAAAAGATCCAAACAGACTCGATTCTAGTCTCAATCAATCAAGGACCTAAAGATAGAGTTTATGGGATTCAAGAAACCAAGACATTATAGCTGATTAACCACTGTCAAAAATAACGTACTCCAAACAAGAGATGGAAAGGAAAGGAAAACTGAACATTCCATGTCAAAACCCTAGTCCAAAGGCAGAAAACTAAGATCAAGGCCATGACTGCTGTAAACAGTTTTTGCTCCTTCATCTTCGAGGAAGTGACCTAAACTCAATGTCTATCTATCAACCTCCCAACCCCCCCCCCCCCACACACACACACACACCAACAACAACAACAACAAAAACCTTGAATGAATGGAAGGCACCATGTATGTTAATCTTATCCGGGTAAAAATGGCTGGAAACCTAGCATAATTATACCAGAAGTACCCAAATCAAGCATTTAAATCAAGGATCATGGATTGGAGAGAATCAAACACCTAGCCAAATGGTTGGGACGTAGAACTTGTATCATTCAAATCCAACATAAATCTTGATTAGTTGAAAATTTTATGCCATGCCAATTAAGCACTAATTCCCATTCAAATTAAACAAAAGTTGATGGATAATAATCTCGCATGCAGAATATTTGGAAGACTTGTTTATTAAAAAAAAAAAATGTTTAAACTTGAGAGATCAAATTACAAACTACGTATATTAGTTGACCTTCACAAAATGACACATTTAAGTATGTAAATGGGAGACAAAATTGCATAAATTATAGAGCCTCAAGATATGGAGAATCTAAGGAGAAATCAGTGTAGATTCTCATAGTTCCTAGCTGCAGAACCCTAGTAAGTGTAGTATATAATATGACAAACTTCACTGTGTTAGACTCTAGCTGTTGGATTATTTACTTACCCATTCCCTATACAAGTATTAGAAAACCGTTTACTAGTGCTATAAAATTGGATTATGCATGATTTTTACTAACTTAGGCAAACTGCTGCCCAACTTCAAGCTTAACTCATCAACTTTAACAACCATGACAAGCAAATAACACCACCATCAAAATTCATCAAAAAACGAAACAAAAGAAAAGATTATCAACTCGACCAATATCCTGAAGAAAGTCGTCAAGCTTATAAAAAAAATTCAAGAAACTTTGAAAAGCACATGCATTTCAACCTATGATTCTATGAACACAATACAAAGTAGTAAGTTTGATGCATTTATAAACAATTTCAGCACATTCACTAAACCATGCATAGTTTTTCAAGGGCAGGACATTCAACTTCTGAGCCAAAGATCAAAAGTACAAGTTAATTAAAGCTTACATAGAAGTATAAAACAAGAACAACATTACAAAGATCAAAAGGAGTGATTAGCCATATTAATTCACCATATACCTCAAACCCCAAACTAACTACAATGAAGAGAAACAATAAGCAAAAGGCAGCTCATAGAAAAAGTAGTAAAAAAATGAAATTACAGAAACACCCCCCAAAAAAACAAGAAGAACAAAGTAAAAGGCAAAGATTAAACTAGCCCATATATATATGTATACAGTTTCAAGGATATGCACCATTAACAGGTCCTATTGGATAATCAGACCAACCAGACATTGCAGGAGAACTCATGAAGCTATAACCTCCATAATTATGGTCTCCTCCTCCAACCGGTGCCGAATCCAAAATAGTCGAATGCATAGGAGAAGAAGGCGATGCTGATCCCACCATATTGCCTAAAATAACCGTCCCTTGATTTTCATTACCACAATAACTGTTGTAATTTGATGATGATTTTAACCTTTGATACAGCTCTAAAATATTGCTATTGCTCCCATTATTTTGCATGAAATCTGGAACAACCCCAGATGAGAACCCATTTGCTTGGTGTTGGTTGTTCCTTTGAAAAGACCCTATTCCAGATTGAGATCCATTACCATATGAATCCAACCCAATGTTGGTGGTAGTAGTAGCACCATCCTCAGTTTTAACATGACTAAAACCACTTGATATCGGGTTAGGGTTATGGAACTGGTTTGAACCTCGAAGCAAGGATAAGATATGAGAGTTTGGTTGAAGTGAAGGCCAAAGGATAGGGTTTGAGCATCCTGACTGAAGATCCGGATGATGGTGAAGATGATCTAACAACCCACTTCCTAGAAAACCCGGGTTTCCATTGACTAGCAACTCGGTTGATAAAGTTGCCTTGGCCTTAGCCATGGCATTTGAGGATGACTTCACTAGCCCAGAAGGAGTAGATGACCCGCTCACCGTTGTGCTCTTGTTCTTACGACAACCACCTCCGATGGGAACGTTCCGGAGAGTTCCACCCTTTGTCCAGTACCTCCGACACGTCTTGCAGAAGTGTCGGGGTTGGGTGAGGTTGTAGTTGTTGTAGTAACAGAACTTGGTGTTGGTGGAGTCGCATCTCGGACACCTCAGATTTTGCTGGCTAGCGTTAGCCTCTGAGCTGTTGTTGTTGTTGTTGTTACTACCACCACTTTGCGAATTAGCCAAAGTTGCGGATGATGCAGTTGTTGCAATGGAAGTAGTAGTAAGAATTGGTGTGGTAGAAGGGCATGTAGTTGAAGGAGGAGAAGAGAAAGGTATGGAAATCTTTCTCTCACCTAAAAAACTTGTAGGAGCACTACTACTTCCCAATAGTTCTTGGATCATCTCTTTTAACTCCCTTTTGATGAATTTTTTTTCCTTAAATTTATTGTAAAAGATGGTATAATAACAAGGAATTTGAGTCTTTTTTGAGATCAAGTTAGCAAAGTGGAAAAGCAAAAGCAAAGATGAGTTTTTGTTTCTATGTGTTATTACTTGTTAAGGAGAAGAAAGAGATGGGAAAGTTTGGGTATTTGCAAGTTCAATTTGACTGGTTTTGAGATTGGTTTGTGAGTTGGAAAAGAAAAGATGGCAAGGAAGATAAAAGGGCTAGTGGGGGAAGCTTTAGTTGGACAGATAAATATATACATGATGAAACTTGCTTTTTGGTTGTTGCAATTAAAATAAACCTAAAGTTGATTTGGATTTAATTTTGAAATATGGTTAGGTTTTTGGAGGGTAGTGTATGGAATTTTATTTGTCCTTTTTCCTTAATCTGTCATCTAGCTGCCTTTACTTGCATTTTTAATGTTGTAAAACAATATTTTGATAAAAACATATCATGATTACTCTCATGATTTTGGATGACTACATACAGTAGAAACATTAACCAAGAACTGTACTAGTTAACTACCATTTGTTTCACATTTCAAGCAGTTTTTACCTCAATTGGCCAATCCTAATGCCCTAGCAAGTGTTGCAACTTCTGTTACTAGTTTCTTTGTTAAGGTTACTTTTCTTTTTTACCCCTTCCTTGGTTACACTAATTGGTATAAGAGCTATTATTTACTACAATAATTGCAACCTTTCACTAACACTAGCACAATTATGCCCTATAAAAAAGTACGCATAGGTTAAAATCCACATCTACATTGTAAATAATGTTCTACTAGCTAGCCTTTGCACCTCATACAAACGTGTAAAACTAACTAAAAATACTACGAAGCATGCACTATGATCTAAACCCATAGTTTCAGCGATATACAGATTCACAAGACAAATTTAAATCAAATGATCATATGTACGTACTAATTTTTTATCATTATTTTCTAAGATGTCAAATATATCCTACACCTAAAAATACATGTGCGCTTTTTGTCAATTAGAAGGACTTTCGACTAAATACTAAATATATGGAGCTAGATATAGTAGTAACACCATATGTTTCAAAATAGATGATTGTAAGAGATGAAAGTAGCTCAAATTAGGAATAAGGATTAAAGAGGAAAATCTTCAAATGTGCCAATCAAAAGAAAATGAGATTTTCCTAATAATTACTTTATGATTTTCTTAATATTCAGTTTATGAAATACAGAACTTATAACCCTTTGCAATTATCTAAGCACTGGCACTAATTGAACGTCCAACAAACAGAAGAAAAAAGGTTTAGGAAGTGGCGAGTAGGAGTAAGAGTAAGAGTAAGATTATGAAGAAATAATAATGACACTATTTAATAAATTAAACATGATGCAATCAATTTTAGCAAAAGAATAATCTTTGTTAGAGTCATTGGAGTTTCCATTCTTGCAGATGCCATTCAAAGGTAATGATTACAGTTTCAAGGTGGGGGAGAGAGAAAGGGAGGAAGAGAGATAATTATAAAAGAGCTTATCATGTGCAGCTACGTGTAAAGTGATTATACAGTGCTAGCCTTGCCGAGACTTATGCCTCAAATGGAGCCCTTTGCTTGCATTACCATAATGCATCATATATTAACATCATCAAATCATATAATTACTTCATAACACTATAATATATTGTCCGAACAATGATAAAGATCAAATAGATTAATTTTAGGAAAAATTGTCAGGAATATTACGACCTTTCAGCGGTCTTCCATAAATATAACGACCTTTGGATTATCCCGGAATATTACGACCTTTGACCCTGATCTTCCATAAATAGGACGTAACCGGTTGGTGACCTGTTAAAAGGGTTAAGTGTGACACGTGTCACTTTTTATTTGGCCAGATACTTTTTTGTTTGATTTTACAATTTTTTTATTTTAATGAATGATTTAATATAAAATGTTGATTTGAATAATTAAAAAAATAATTTTAATTTTAAAAAATTCCCTTAGCACCCCCTGCCCCCATACCCCCGTGAAACACCCTACAACAACCACCCCTATGAAACCCACCATGGCCGCGAGCCCCACCCACCCCCGTGAAACCCCCACCGTAATTCTCGCTTCTCCGTCCTCTATCCATTGATGCAAGCAAGTATATAGTGCAGGGTCGAAAATGAAAGGGTTGGGTAGAATTTTAGATGAAGTGGTCGGAAGTCGATTTTAATGGCGGTGGGATTTAGGTGAAGTGGGCGGGTTTCCTGTTTAGGGGTTGGCCGGAATTTCAGAACCGATGAGAATATAAACTCAGGGACTCGAAAATGAAAGGGAAAAGGTGAGGGCTGCCAGAGTTCGAATTTGGGAGGGGAATGGAGTAGGCTGGTCGAAAAGGAGAGGGAAATGGGGTGACGTGGTCGGAAAAAGGAAGTGAAGGGCATGGGGTGGTCGCCGGTCGTCGAGGCTAGTCGGAAGGGGAGGGGAAGGTGGCTGTCGGAAAACCCATTGTGCTGCTGGAATGGTTGGGGAAGAACAGGGTGGGTTTTACATTTTTCTTTTTTTATTTGTGTATTTTCTTAATTAAAAATCAGTTTCTTGAAAAAGAAAAATATAAAATCAAATTAAAATTTCTAACCTATCACAATGCAACACGTGTCTTGGATAACCTTTTAAAAAGGTTACCGGTTTTTTTATGAAAGATCAGGGTCAAAGGTCATAATATTACGGGATAATCCAAAGTTCGTTGTATTTATGGAAGACCGCTGAAAGGTCGTAATATTTCTGACAATTTTTCCTTAATTTTAAGGATACATATTCAAGGTCTTATAGGTTAATTTCGAAGATTAATTTTAAGGATACATATTCAACGTCTTATAGATTAATTTCGGAAATTAACGAGTATATTATAAATTAATCAATCAAGGTATACTCTGTTGTAGTACAAGTAAATGATTCAGTATTTGTAGGTCTATTTATGACCTTGTAGACACGTGTGATGTGCCCACAAAAACTGGTACGCTAGTATGTAATTCTAATTCATGATGAAATGATCCATTTGAAGTTAAATTTATGTGGTTGTTGATGCCTAAAGTTTTATAACAATAATGAAATTCAGCTACATGCATGGGTCTAGCTAAGGTAGCTAGCTAGGTTTCCCTAGAGCCAACTAAACATATGGAAGAGTCATATTTCATGAACAAGTGTTGCATGAGCCTCCAACACTGGCCTAATTAAATTAATAGACCATTAAAACTTTATTATTATTATTATTATTATTATTATTATTATTGTTATTATTATTATTATTATAGGGCATACTTATATGAAAATGACATCCACTTAAACGAATAAAATTATGGATATAATTAATTCCCCAATTCTTTTTTCTATGACCTACAAACATTAATTATTAAAAAAACACACGAAAATATTGTCTAAACAATAGTTTTATGTAAATTCCAAAATAGAGCTCCTCATACTTTTCAAAATCTAATTCAAGAATTAAAAAGGGGCAAAAGACAACGGTTCTAATATAGCGATGAGAAGACTTAGTGACATAAGCAAAGTTAGTGAAATCTCTTTTGAATAGCAACGACCAACAACGGTATGATTATGTATGTGGTACATTTAACACCATCCATATTATAAGAGAGGACGTGATCAATGACATTAGATTAAGGATATGATATAGAAAGATCCAGATAGATTAAACTATGTTATGACACCATTGTTTCAAAGAAAGGAGGGTGCAAACTTTGATTAATTTAGGTATTCAAAAATATCACCTGGTTTGCGGTGCTTAGTCTATTGTTTATTGGTCGTGTTTGTAATGAGGGTATTAGAACCTTGATTTGCTCACCTTATTTTCACATATTTAGAAAAAATAAATCTCATGAATTCATAAAACGTAACAGGTTCAAATAAAAGTTAGTTCAAACTTGTTAAAGTTATCATCAAATCAAGGTTAATAACAAGGCTTATTCAAATTCAACTTCCAACTAAAAAAAGTTTGATATGCATGTATTAAGCCACTTTTAACAAGGCTGAAAATGTGTTAAGAATTTGAGTCACTACCTGTTTTTTTTTTTTTTTTTTTTTTTAAGATTAGATTTAATGGCACTCCGTATATTATTGACAATAGGGACATAATATACCAAGTATTCTACTCTTTTTGTAATTTGGTGTAAATCCTTTTTTCATTTTTTTTTTAATTTCATATCGATATATTTTCTTTGATCAATTTTTAAAAAAAAAAAATTAAAAAAGAGGTGTCCAATGACTTCAATCCGTGTTTTCTCTCCTAATAATAATAAAATAAATAAAAACACGTAAATATCCTACTTTTGCAGGACAAATATTGCAAACCATATTGGCAACTAACATGGATCACATTGCAAACAATCAACTTGGTCTAAAACTTATCCATAAAGACTTAATTTACTAACAAACAATAGCTGTATTATCAAAACCTATTAAAATATCCATATGAGGTTAGAGCTAGCTATAAAGTAGACTGTATAATAACACTTTAACCTATTTAATTAGGATAAAGTTTAATTAGGACAAAGTTTAACCTATTTAATTAGGACAAAGTTTAATGTGAAACAGATGTTTGCTTTTAATTATACCAGGCCATCAGTTTTCAAAATCTTTAACCTGAATTATTCACTGTTGTAATACCCAAATTAGTCCACTAGTAAGTGATGTCAGCAGTTAAACATCAATTTCATAGAAACCTTAGAATTCAGAATATCATTGAATGAAAGAAAAGAAAAGTGTACCAACATAATAAACTAACGTCCTTTTTGATCAAGTATAATGTAGTAGAAGTACAGTAGAATAAAAATTACTGTACGTTCAAACTTTGATAAGGGAAAAAAAGGGAATTTTTATTGTTCTGGTTAAAGCACAAGGCAAAACTGAGCGCGCGTGCCGTCCGGAGTGGCAGAAATGGGATATTTTAGGGACGGGACGAGTAGCATGGAATGCGACATTAGAGAGAATGTGGGGAGTGACTGAGATAAGCTCTTGTTTCCACTTTTTCTCTATTTTGGAGCTTATTTATGTCATTTTCAACTTTTGCATTATTTTGCTTCCTTATTCTACCTGTAATTTTATTTTTATTTTTGTGTTAGTTACATTATTTTAAATGTATAGTACGGAGTGTTAAGTTTATATCCTCGTTATTTGAAAATCCTATTCGTATATATTTTTCTAATTTCATATTACTTAGACGGATTAAATAAGATAGAACAAACTAACCTGGCTTATGGTCTAAATATTGTTTGAAGTAATACAGATGACCTATCATTTGAATACATTCCATATTGAATGATGTTAATGAAACTCGATTTGATTACCCGCT